AACAGTGAAAGATCCCTGGAGGCTCAGGCCCCCAGGATCTCTCCGTCCAGGACTGCAACGACCCCAATCACCAGGCAGAGGCGAAAGCTTGATGCAAACTGCATGAGGCTTTATTGCAGTTGTTTAACGAGCTAACCCCATGTTAGCTCGGGTCTTTCACCCACCCACCATGGCGGATGGCTAGAAAAGACGACGCAAAGCCACTGCATAGAGATCTTGTAGGGCAGCATAAGGGGAGTGTCTAGGGGTATGCACAGGCTTACGCACAGGCTCACGATTGGTGTGCCTCCAGGCTTGGAGGGTTTGCCCTGTGTTGATTGGTCAACTGGTTGTTATGGCCCATGGGCCCTCCTAGGGTGGTTGCTATGCTCTGTGCGTCATTGCTGTGCACTTGTCCGTAAAGCACACCCAGAGCCGTAAAGCATAGCACCACCAACTAACTTCTGATTGGTTCCTTGCCACGAGGGAGGCATCTGACCTCTTAGTGACCAAGACAAGGTCAGACAAGCATGTGTTCGGCTGTTATGGCTGCCGAAATGGGGAGTTGGTCCCTTCAACAGGAAGTAGACAAACACTGCATGTGGTGTGAGCATTGATGAGACTTCAAAGCCTGCCTCCACAGTGACACACTTCCTTCATATAGTCCATGTGAATGGAAATGTCTATTTGTCAAAGTTCACTTGCAGTTCCCCCCAAATCAGTGGTCTGGGCACTTCTGCAGACAGGTATATGCTGAAAGCAGTTTAGACATCCACTCACCCAACTGATTTATTTTCATTCTTCTAAAATATGTTTAGTGGCATTTTTTTTCCATCTTTGTACTTATTATTGAGATGATTTCATTGATTGAAATATCCCTAAAGTTGGGGCTGGAGAGATGGCTTGGAGGACTTGCTGCTCAAGCAGAGGACCCAGGTTCAGGTCCCAGCACCAACATAGAGGCTCACAAAGACCTATAACTGCTGTTTCAGGGGCTACAGTGCCACCTTCTGGCACATGTGCACAAATACATATGCAGGCAAACAAACTGTTAGACCCCCGGAAAACTCAGGTCTTCAGGATCCCAGCTCAGGACCGAGGTCACCCCAATCACCAGGCAGATTTGAAAACTTGCTGCAAACTGCATGAGGCTTTATTATTTTTTAATGACCTAACCCCATGTTAGCTCCGGTCTTTCACCCACCCACCATGGCGGATGGCTAGCCCACCATGGCGGATGGCTAGCAAAGACAGCTCAAACCGGCCCAGAGAGATCTTGTAGGGCAGCATAAGGGGGTATGCACAGGCTCAGAATTGGTGTGCCCCTAGGCTTGGAGGGTTTGCCCTGTGTTGATTGGCCAACTGGTTGTTATGGCCGATAGGCCCTCCCAGGGTGGTTGGTATGCTCTCTACGTCATTGCTGTGCACTTGTCCGTAAAGGACACCCAGAGCCGTAAAGCATAGCGCCACCAGCTAACTTCTGATTGGTTCCTTGTCACAAGGCAGGCACCTAACCTCTAGTGACTAAGGCAAGGTCAGAAAAGCACGTGTCCGGCTGTTATGGCTGCCGAAATGGGGAGCTGGTCCCTTCAAAACACATGACAGAATACAGTAAATAAAGACAGAACGAAAGAAAATAAAATACCCTAAAATTTAAAGAGACTGACGCAGAGAAATAGTTTTAGATAAAGTTTGTTCAGGCTTCTAGTGTGTTGGGCATATGTTAACTATCATGTTTATTATGGCAGTCTCTACAAGCCACTGCGAAGCTCTGTTGGCTCCATCTACCCTTCTGAAAGTGAAGTTTCCCCCTTTGCTCTTCTTTGCCTCTTTCTTGCAAATACTGGCCAGAACCTATGCTTTTTCTGGGGCTTCCTTATTCCTTCTCTAAAACTCCCCCTTGCTGCCATGTGGCTGCCTACTACCTAGTGTCTGGGCCCCCCCCCCCCCCCCCCCCCCCCCCCCCCCCCCGCTGCCATGTGGCTGCCTACTACCTAGTGTCTGGCCCACCCCTCCCCCAACCCCATCCCCCCTTCTCAGTTTAATTTAAACAGCATGGCTCTTTTTGTCTTCTCTGCTCCATTCTCCTCCTCTGGGCAACTATGGGGATTCACAGATTGTCTGCCCTGTGGTCTTTCCTTTATAAACTCTTATAAAATTGTCCTCAAGCTTCTGTTGGAGTTTCTTCTTAAATTCTTTTGTTAATGATACTACTGACCCCCACACACACACACCAAAAGGAGACCCCGATTCTGGTAACATATTTGGTAGCTTGTTTTGGAATATTACAGAAGCTCTCTGCATACAACAGGTGATCAGAACTAGAACTTAGACCTTAGGCAAACTCTTATCTCTGTCTTGTCTTGGAGCCCATAAGCTGTTTGCCTGGTCCTCTGTCTCCCTGGGAGAAAAAAAAAAACCAAAACCAAAACCAAACCAAAACTTTTTTTTTCCTTCTTTCCCAGGCTTCCTAGGACATGTGGAGTGCACATACAAGTTTCTCTCTTTCTTGGGTTTGTCCCTTGTCTCCCCCCCCCCACACACACACCCTTATGTCTGTGGCCATGTGCTGGGAGCTAAATAAGGCTGTTAAACTCCCCATCTTCTCTTTAGAGCGCAGGATTCTCTCCCCACCCCTGTTCCCTCAGAGAATCTGGGAGACTTTGGGTCAGATATGCAGGAAGGGAGGGAAACACAGGAGTTTGCTGTGATTAGGCCCACGTGTCTCACCCTTACGCCGGGTGGACACCAGCTCTGTCTGACTGCGTGGTCCCCAGGCAGCTGCGTTTCTGAGTAACGTTTTAAATCACGATTGACTATTTGTAACAAGTTGGTTTCTAAGAGAGAGAATTTCTGCTAACATGGGGAGCAGTGGGGAGGGGGCGGGGGCGGTCACAGATCTGTTCTCAGCTGCCATACTGGGGACCAAGGTTACATTCTCCTTCCCAGTTTCTCCTTGCGGTCCCAAAGCAACAGCGCCACCTATGGGTCTTGGCACAGTTCCTCACTCCTTTACTTCCCTTCATGGGGTCATTTCTAAGCATCTTGTTACCTAGGTCAAAAAAAGATCCAGACGACATCATTTGACATTCTCAATTACAATGCTGGTAAGGCATATGGACTCTTTTGGAATTCCTTCCTCCTTCGTTTTTCTGCTTTGCTATTATAGATGTTTTCTTATTTTTGGTATTTGGTATTTTCTAAATGATAGGGACTTCTATTCAAGTCCCATGTGGTAAATTACAATATGGCTGTTTTAATCCAGGTAGCCTTATGATAGCCATTTCCCCTGGAGTGTTTATTGTTCTGGATTCCAGTCTAGATTGAGAAATGTGATACAGACTAAACGGGATATACATTTGAGGAAAAGGGGTCAAAGGAAATGTTTAAGAGAAATATTGGATATTCAACCTACAAAGGAGCTTAGACCTCCCCCTTCCGACTTATATGACCACTAGAGGTTGGTTGACTTTCCTGACACAAGGGTCAATATCTTCTCTAGGGGTTTTTGTTTTTTGTAGCCCATTAAAGTGAAGTTTAGTAAGAAAAGAAGAGAACATTGAGACAGGGAGATGGACTATAGAGGAGCTGATCATTCATCCTCCAGTATCTACTGGCTGTTCTGAAGACTGACTGCCCTGAAGCCTGGCTCATTGCCAACACTGAACTTATGGTTGAGCAAATGAATGAATGCTCGAGGGTATCCATGCTTTCAGGGAGTGAAGGATTTCCCTCCTCCCCGCCAGCGCTCCCTAGGCAAGGAACCACCGCACATCCTTCAGGCTTCTCTCTCAGGACTGGAGAGGAAAGTTGCTTCAGGGCTGTCCTGCCAATAAGGGCTTGAGTTTTGTCTTTGAGGCTAGGGTCGGGAGGTGCAACAGCCTCCCAAGGGCCCCCCTGCCTGGCTTCCCTCATTTCCAGCCTAAGCCTGAGCTGATGTTTTTCATTCTCCCTCAACTTTGGAAGTGGGTTCCTCCCGTCATGTCTTCAACTTTAGCTTTCAGGAATGTGAACACCATGTTTAATTAGCTAATTCACGTTTTGAATATCAGAATTCTTCCTATCTTTTCTATTTTCCAAAGGTCTCCAATATGTTTCTTATTAATATTATTTTTGTTTGTTTGTTTGTCTGTTTGTTTTTATAGCCCAAGGACTGTGACCACCTGGAAAAAGGAGACTGAGTGATTTCAGCTTTGAAATTAGTAAGTAGAACTGAATACTTTTTACATTGATACTAAACTGTTTAAAGAAGACAGTAGCAAATGAGCAGCAGCCACATATGTTCCCAATGTAAGAGATTTTATTCAGGTTCTGCACCCAATTAGAGGTACCTACAACAGACTACAGACAAAACAAATTAGGAAGGGCTCGATAAAAATGTTCAGAAAACAGTAACACAGAGTGCTCCCTCTTACAGATCTCAGACAAGCTACCAACTGGTCTTAATTTCAGTCTTCATGTTGTGTGACAACATTCTTAATTCACAAGGAAGAACCAATTTAAAACAAGGTCGTAGGGGTGAGGCCTAGCTACGAAGACTCCCCAAAGAACCCTGAGAATACTCTGACAGTTTTGTCAAGCTAGTGCTGCTACATATCAAAAGGTGAGAACAATTTGTGGTGATGGGGGAAAGTAGGATACTGAATGGCTAGAATAATCCCTAAATTCAAACAGTAGGTTGCTATTGCGGGTGGGGAGCTGGTTCTCATTAACAGTGAAGGTATTGGGTGGAATGAAGGCAACCCTTACCTCAGCAGAGAGCCTTGCTCCACAGGGTCCAGAGGCTGGGCTCTGAGCAGCCCTGGAGGAACAGTGGCTTGCTTAAAGTTAACTGCCACTAGGATGCCTTAGGATTCCTCATTGACGGGTCCTCAGCCCCTTGCGCTGCTGTGGGTAGCTGGAATTTGTCAGCACAGGGTTGCTCCTGGTGACGGCGTGACAGCGAGATTGGCAATGTCCGAAGCCACCAGCGGAAAGCCTTCTCTGGGAAAGTGGGTATCAGCATGACTTGTGGGGAGGGGTTGGTGTTTTGTTGTTCTGGGACCTACCCTGGCCTGGAAACTGGGGCATGAGCTCACATACACTATTCTTCAAAGTGTTGTAAAGGTTCAGGGTGCCTCCCAATCCCCCACCCTGGACACAGGGAAGGTGTTGGGGTTAGACTCCGGGGACCTGGTGTCATAAGAAGAGCCTTCTGAATCGAAGGACATCATCTCCCGGAGAAGTGACCTCTTGGGCTTCTTTTTCTTTTTTTTAAGGTTCTCTTGTCTTGGCTGTTGCAAATTTCCAGTGTCTTCTTCGGTCACTGTCCAGAGGGGGGAAGATTTACTTGCCTCTACTTCTTCCCTAGAGAGAAACAGAGGAGAGCTTGAGACTGGATTTGACAGCTATGGTGTGTCTGCAGAGATCTCCAGCTCATCTCTGCAGAAGTAGCCAAGCTTTGTCCACTGCCTGAGGTGTTGGGCACTCTAGGCTTAAATTCCATTTGGTTCATGTCCATATGCAGGAGCCCCACACAACAGGGAAAACATAATCTTGTGGACCTACTCCCTATGCAGTCAGTCAAGAAACAGCTAACTCACGCTGCTCAGATGCCCGCTGCATGCTTCAGCTCTGACCACTGTCCCCCGACAAGTCACCAGCCTAGCTCTATCACAGCTCAGGTTTCTCAGATTATGTGGATCAAGGTGCATCATCAGAACTCCCAGATGTCAACAGTGAAGTGACTTTTTATTACATTTAATAGAAAAAGCACAGCCATGCCTATGATGTCATATGTATTTAGAAAATGTACTGGACAAAGCTTATCTATCAAATAGTGTTGGCTTTTCTTCAGGGAAAGCATCTTGGGAACGCTATGATTTCATTTCTAGCCCACTTGCAGCAGCCACTGATTTGTCAGTTTCTCTTTTTCAGAACCTCCAGGCTGTTTTAAGAACACTAAATACCTGGGCTTAAACCTCACTTTTGTTTCATACTTTTGCATTGGTTGCCTTGACCACCCTTGCTCCACTCAGAATCAGCTTTGTTTTCATTTTGCCCTAAATCACTTCAGATCATTACTGTTTCCAAATCTTTTGGAAGATGTGAGAGAAAAAGACGAGCTGGGAAGAGGCTTTTAGTTATTTTCAAACAAATCCCATTATTCAAATTACTCTGCAATGGATCAAGATTGTATCACATGTGATTATTTTCAGAGACTGGCACAAGACTCAAAAGGGAATTCCCAAGAGATGCTAAAAAAAGATTGGCTCAAGCAGTAGCATGTAATAAAAAGGCTTTCCTTGATTCCCCCATCCAAACTATCTTATGTGAGGTCTGAGCTTGTGTAGATGGCAAACCTCTGGGAGAACATGTGCCTAGAGACATGGAGGCCACACCTCAAGATTATACCCAGGACACCTGCCCTGTGAAATCTGAATTCTTGACAGGCTTCGCTTCCACTGTTCCCCACACTGCTACCTCCCTCAAAGCTAAGTCGGTTGTATGTTGTTTTTCTCCATTGGCTGTACATTAGCATTGATCTGTTTTATGACAGACAGCTTCTTAGGAAGATTAGCAGCAAAGAGAGGGTAGCAGGAGTTTTCCAGATGTGCTAAAAGCACTCAAAGCATAAGCAGAAAGACCTGTCTACTTGCCCGAAGCAGACAAGGGAGGAGGAGGAGAGGGGCCAAGAAGCAATACATGTATGGCTTTTGCAGGGGCTGGTCATATCAATGAGTTATAGGCCATCTCCTAATGGAATTTTAGGCAGGCAGCAATGAAATAGCAGGGGTTACTGTTACACAAGAGTTACACAAGAGAACACACATATTTTCATTTTTGCTATTAGGGTTATGAATATGCAAGGAAGACCAGATACCTCGAAGTACCCTAAAAACAGCTGCCTCTGGGAAATGGATTCCAACAGAATGGGAATGTTCCCCCACCTTTTTACATTAAAAAATTTCATGTGTTTATTTGTTCACCTTTATGTGTGTGGATATTTTGCCTGCATGTATGTCTGTGTACCACATGTGTGCCTGGTGACTGTGGAGGACAGGGGGAGGGGGGGTCTGATCCTCTGAGAGTAAGGATATGGACAGTGGTGAGCCACCATGTGGGTCCTGGGAATGGAACCTGGTCCTCTGAAAGAGCAGCTAGTGCCCATAACCACTGAACCATCTCTCCAACCCCATGTTTCCCACATTTAAAATATGTTTTTGCAACTGTTACACATAAGGAAAAACAGTAGAGCTTTTGGCTTTGAAGAAAAATATGAATCAATGCAGCAGATGAAAAAAAAATCTGGAAGAATACATACCAAAATACAGTGCTTATTTTTGGCATGTTTGGTTGAGTATTTAAAAAGATTTTCCAGTGGCTTTTAATTTATAAGTAATATCAACTGTGCATTACTTTTGGAGAGAGAACAAAACAAGACAAGTTGTCATGGTTAGAACAAAAGGTTTCATCAGGAGAAAACTTTTTAAAAGGTTTATTTATTTAAGGGCACTGTGTGTGTGTGTGTATGTGCATACTGCCCACTGAGGCCAGGAGATAATGTGGCTGGAGATTGGCTTGCCTCAGTCTACGAGAGCACATCCTCCCTAATAAGGGCTGCCATGAGCCTGTGGACATAAGCCATAACTGTGACTGGATATGACCCACCCAAGGGCTTTCTTTTGTTCAATTTCACACTAAAGGAACATTCAACTAGGTGATGTATTAGTTATTTTAGATTATAGATTTGAAAGAATACAGGGCTAACTGTCCCTTTCTGAAATATTTAGGACCAGCAGTGTTCCAGATTTTGGATTCTTTGCATATATGTAATGAGACACCTTGCGGAGGGAACCCAAGTCTAAAACAGGAAGTTCAGTTCCGTTTCCCACACACCTTTATGCAACTTGTATAAGCTGATGTATACTATATCCTGATGGCACTGAATTATGACTGTGGCCTAGCACCTGAGTCAGCTGTGAAGCTTTCACTCATGGCATCATGTTTGTTTTTTAAGAAGTTTAGAATTTCTGAGTGTGGTAGTTGGACTGGAAATGGCCCCATAGGCTCCTAAGGACTGGCACTATTGGGAGGTATGGCTTGTTGGAGTATGGTGCTGTTGGGAGACTTGAGTCACAAGCAGGCTTTGAGGTTTAAAATGCTCAAGCCAGCTCTAGTGTAATATTCACTTCCTGCCGCCTGCTGATTCAGATGTAGAACTCTCAGCTACCTTTCCAGCACCATGACTTCCCACCATGATGAGAATGGACTAGACCTCTGAACTGTAAGCCAGCCCCAATGAAATGTTTTCCTTTATAAGAGTTTTCATGGCCATGGTGTCTCTTCAGAGCAATAAAACCCTAACTAAGACACTGGGCATGTCAGACTTTGGATTTTTGGATTAGGGACAGCCAAACTGTACTACGATAAATAAGATCCAAGTGTGTACAGTGGGATAGAATGGGGAGCCATTCTATGCACCATGTCTTAACTGGCTCTTTAGAAGGTTCTGTTCTCATTTCTAGGGAGAAAGTACTGAGAAACCATGATACACTTTTTCTGGGTTCAAAATTCACCCATTCAGTTGACCAAGATTGGCCAATATCCTGGTTCTCTTGCTGGCCCCCAGAGGCCTCTTTCCTACATTGTCCCAATTGTCTTTTTTGCTCTGGAATAGGTACCAGAAAGATGTCTCATGGGGATCAGAAGGTGTCTGAATTGACAACTGAAGGAGCAGAAGATCAAGAGATTGATACCAGTGGTCTAAGGGTCTCTGTAACTCTTGAGGACACCTTAGCATTCTCTTGTCTCTTCAAAGTCAGAAATGGTCTTTGTCCTTATGGACAACACAGGATATGCACAGGCAGAGGTTTTTGCTGAACTGCTCATTTTTCAAGGCTTGGCTTCGGGATAGAAAACGGGGCTCTCATTTGAGTACAGGGATGAAGGGATAATGAGATGCACAGACTCATTGATTTCAAATGCCCAGCTCGCTCCCAGGGAAGAACTGTCAGGAGTGACTACGTCAGAGTGAGGGAAGTGATGTGTCCACACAATGCCAGAAGCAGCACTGGGCCATGATGTTTCAATCGTTCAGTTTACCCAGCTGCTGCTGAGAAGGCAGTGGGAGGCTGTTCCATACTGTCCAGGAAGGAGGCTAAGTCACTGGGGAATCGCCCCTCCCATGGAAACATACGCCTAAATCCATGGGAAGTCACCAGGCTGCTCAAAGGAGAGACAATGGGAGGCTCATGTTTTGTGCAATGGGGAATGGCCAGCTGACCACAGACTCAAACAAACTACCTCCAAGTCCTGGGAAAGTCTTCCTTTTGGCAGTCTCACACACAACAGTGTCCCCTAAGACCACACAGCACCAATCAAGCAGCAAGGGAAGACGATCCCTTCCCCTCAGGTGCCTGATTTTTTTTCTTCCCATCAGATGGTTTTTTTCTGGAGCCCCAGCCTCCCTCCACTGCCCCCAAATGATTTGTCCTACTTGGCTTTCCTGCAATCACATTTGGAATATTGTCACTACTGTTGCTATTATTGTTGTCGTAATTAAGAAATAGTAAACCCTCTCAAGAGAATGTCTTTCTAGAGGGCTGACTTGCCTGAGCCTTGCTCTGTCAAGCGGGCAGGTAGACCCCAGCTCTGCTGGAGGGGTTTGCAGCCAGCTAGGGGCACCAGGTGTGTGGATTCTGCTTAGACCTGCCATATGCCCTGGTCTGGAGATAGCTTCTGACACCTGGCTGAGGTGATTTCCCTCAGGGGAAAACCCAGAAGCTAGAACATCAGACCCACCAGGTGCAGCCTTTCCCTGCAGCAATCAGAGGCCTCAGCCCTCTGACAGGACAGAACAGGATCCTGAAAGAGGTGGCCAGGGAAATCCCTGCCTGTGTGAGGGCAGAGGATACTGGATTGGGGGGGGGATGGGTTGTGGTGGTGGGGAATTCTTCCTGTTCTGCTTGCTTCTTAGAGCTCCTGAGATCACATGAGAGGAATTACATATGTCTCTTGAAATGAATGTTCTAGTTAGAGACTATTTTCACTCAGAAAGGGTATATATGATGCCATAGAACATAGTGAAAAGCCCAGGGACACTGAAAGAAAGAGGGAAGGAAGGGAAGTTGGGTCCCCTCCACTGACCCACTCCTAGTGGGTGGCACAAGAGGAAAGAAGCAGCCAGCTCCCATGTCACACATTTCTGGAGGCAAACAAAGTGATGCTGGTACTGTCCCTTGAGAGCTAGACTTTTGCTAGCATGGTGACATATTTAGCAAGCCACTCTTATTAAAGGTCTCTAAGAGTCACTTAGCTGTCAAGCACAGGTTGAAAATGGAAAATTGCATGACCTCTAGTTGGTCAGTTTTGATCTTAGCATTCTGTTGAATATTTTCCTTCCCATCCTTCACTGGTTATACCTTCCATCAAGGACTAAGAGAGGATGCAACCACCACTGCAAATCCACTGGCAGAACAAGCAATCAGAGGTTAACTGAGATACCACTGTATCTATCGGTAGGAAATACTATGTTTAGTCATAGCTGAAGGCTCCAAGAAGAAAAGAAAGTGGAATGATAGAGACCGGCATGTTGGTCTACCCAGGTGTCTGGAGGTGAAGGGCCCTAACTGATTGCCCCTGACTGATAGGCACAACTGAGTCAATACCTGGAACTAATGTTCTGTTGGAGTCACGACCCGTGGTATAGTTCTTTAATGATGCATGAACATGAGAATCAGGATTCTCAATAATGGCTTCCTTGGTATAAAAGCCCCAGGACTTACTACAGATGTTGAAAGGGAGATGGAACAAGAGGTAATCAAGAATTGGGTACCAGTGGAAGACCTAGAGATTAGAAAACAGCTAAATTTATTCTTGTATTCAGCCCTGTGTATGCAAGCAGAGACCAATCAAGCTCTGGAATTAGCAAGCTGAAGATGGCTCCTGCTTAGGGAAATTAAACATAGCTTGTTGTTCCTAGGAAGGCATTGAGAGTTTAAAAAAAAAAAAGGAAAGAAAAAAAAATGAGTCAATGAACACATCTCCTGTGGAAGCCCTAGAGGTGAGAGTAGATAATTAGCAGCTAAGAAATTTAAATAAGGCCCAGGGAATGTGGGAAACAAAGGGTTTTTTTCCTTCCTACAGAAAGAAATGAATTTTAATTAAAAAATGATTAGTGATAATGTTGAGTTCAGAGAAAATAGTCAATACGTAGACTAATATTCATATTGCCTTATCATGGGCTAGAATTTAAGAATATTTTTCTCCAAAGATTCATATGCTTTGGGTTTGGTCTTCAGTGTGGCCATGTGAAGAGGTGACGGCCCTTCAAAAGGTGAGACCCTGTAGGAGACAATTAGGTCACTGGGGGCTTGGCCCCTTTAACAGATTATTGGGGTCTCCTGGAGTGAGCAAGTTGATTGACAAGAACAAGCCTAGCCCCTCACAGTCTCTAGTTCCCTCTCTACCCCTTTACTTGCATGGATAGCATACTATCCATCATGCTCTGACAGGACCAGAAAGGCCCTCACCAGAGGCCAAAGGGATGGAGTCACTTGACCTTGGACTTTCATCCTTCAAAACTGAACTATAAACATCATTTTTTTCCTTTGAAAAGTTCTTAGCCTTAGACATTTTGTTATAGCAACCGAAAGTGGACTGAGACAGTTGAGCACTTAGGAAATTTTCTGTTAATGAAAACCTTCACGAGATGCAGCAGGATCACTTTAGTACATGGGAGAAGCTGGCTAAGTACGAGGGCATTTTATAGTAGTGGGAATGCTTGCGTCCAATCTTAGGATTTCCCAGGTGGCTAAGGGAATAGTGTTCCGAGAAGGTAATACAGAGTTTATGCAAAGTACAGAGATCTGAGAGAGCATGGTGTTGGGAAGGAGATGGAAGACTGGTTAGAAGTGACTGGGAACAAGCGAGACTAGGGAGACAGGTTCCACCACACTAATGAGAGGTTAAGATAGAATGAGAGGGACCCAGATGGGGGTGAGATCTGGGGGGTTTTAAGTGAGGAAGATAATACAAGAACCATCTGCAATAAAAGAAAACCATTCAGTCAACCCCCCCCATCTCACCTCCCCACCAAGCGAATGTGCCTGGGTTTGGGGCAGGCCTAGATTAGAGCAACCAAGAGCTTCTGCCTAAAGCACTGAGCTACAACAGAGCCCAAAACCATCTCCAAGCCTGGATCATAGTAACTTGGAAGAAGATGGGATGTGGTAAATGACCAACAGATGTCTGCTTGGACAATTCCATGACTCATGGGAGGAAGAGTTGCTGAGACAAGGAGCCCATGATTGGGAGCAGGTGTAGGGTCTGAGTTTAGTCTGTATTGAATTGAAGTCCTGTAATGTCAGGTAGAAACAGGCAGTGGGAAGCTGGGGAAATGGCCTGTTGTGAAAGAAAGACTTGAGTTCCAACTCCGGGCAGCTATATTGAAGCTGGACATAGCTACATGTGCCTGTAACCCCAGAGTTGAGGAGTGGAGAGTGGGGCATCCTGGGAGCTCACTGGTCAGCCAGTGAAAGATTCTGCCTTTAAAATAATGTGGAAAGTGATAGAGGAAGATACCCCACATCCTCTTGGGGTCTCCATATGCACATGCACGGGGACACAGACACACACTCACTCACACTCCAGCATGCCATTCCCATCATGTAGAATACCTACACTGTGCCACACACAGCCATGGACAGTCCCATCTTAGACCTATAGTCCCTAGGTGGGGCAGGATATGGACCTAAGACTCAGTTTCCAAAATGTCCCCTCCACTGTAGCTATCTATAGAGCTGCCCATCACATACCCCTGTGTGGCTTTCATAAGGACACACTGTAGGCCCGTTTGGGGGCTTGTAGCGCTCATGCAGAGCCACAGACTGGGTTAGAGAAAGAGACACAGGGTCCTTGGAGTGAGTGGCATCACAGAAGCAACGGTGTGGGTAAAATCAGGTAGAGAAAACCCAGAGAGCCATGGCAGGCTTGAGAAGGCTACCCATAGAATAAAAGGTTTAGTCCCCCGAAACAACACATTCACCCCGTGGATGTGTTTCCCGAATCCCCTTGCTCAAACCCCACATTTGCTTCCTCTTTATGTGCCTTTAACTCCATGTCATGGTGCTGTGACTTCATCCTTGCTCTTGTTGCCCTGGTGGACTTGGATTTTGTCCTGTCTTCAGGCTTCAAGTCTTTCCTACTGGCATTGGGCCAGTCTGCCTGCACATCTCTCTAACTTCACCACTTCTGGTGGAGAGTTGCTCACCTCAGTGTAGACCCTGGGAACCCCAAATCACCCACCAACACACACATCCTGTAAGCCCCTTCATTACCTCACTTCCACCTCCTTATATGGGAGGGACAATTAGGGGACAGTTCCCAAATGAGGTTTAATTACTAGGCCTTGAATTCTTACACACAAAGGGGGCACAATCACTTCTTTTTTTGTGGCAGGATTGAATGTGTTTGTGAAGGGCCAGTGAAAATAATGTTGACTCTGAGATTAGAACCAGATGGAGTGGCAATGGTAGGAGGTAGATTGACTAATGATCACAGAACTGAGCCTTCCATCTCTACTCTCCCCCAGTACACAGAAGGTGTGGATCTCAGCAACAGAATAAAGGCTCAAAGATAGGGGTTGATATTTAAGAGGAAGGAGTTGGGTGTACTCACACAGGTTGGTCCTTCTCAAGTGGGCACGATTTTATCTGGGAGCAAGAAAGAGCATACTTGTTTTGGCTTATCTTTATAAGTGCACTCCGAGTACAAAATTCCTGTAATCATAGCAAAAGAGGTCATGTCATTTAACCCGGGAAGCCCCCAATTCATGAACAAACTTTATTTGAGCTCAAGCCATTATCATCACTACTAATCATTACCTCATTGGGGTGCCACTCAAGAGAGCAGGTTAAGTTCACTTTGCTTTATAATTGTTTGCTAAATAAAAGTCATTGTTAATTCCTCTGTACTCATTTAATTCTAGGTCAACTGCCAAGTCTACCCAGGTAAGTCACACATGTACACCTACCTCCCTCCTCCTCCTCCGACACACACACACACACACACACACACACACACCTTTCTATCTTTGTTTCAGCTTTTCTGGATAGCTGTGATCATGACCCTATTGCTGACAGTCCTGCTCTCACTTGTGAGGTTTCCCAGAAACCTTGTGAGAATCTTCAATGTCCTTTCCTCTGACTGTAGCATCCTGGCCTCCCAGAGACTTCCTGCCCTGAGAGTCAACAATAAAGTCACTCTGGAATCTCAGGCCTTTCTTTAGGGACCCCAGACCATCTGCTGTGTATCTATCTCTCCCTGTTCTCTCCCTCATTATTTCACATGTCCCTGGCTTGCTTCTTCCCATGTAGATATACTCAAGCAGCCCTACACACTGGGATGCTCATCCAACAGACAGACAATGAGGTGGCAGAGGAAGGCAAGGTTGAGAAAGGCCCCAGGAGATGCCTGTATCTACAGGGCTTGCAGAGGAGCACAGGCAGGAGCAAGAGGACATACACAGAGTGTGGTGCTGAGACTGGGGAGGTGACTTAGTGCATAAAGAGATTGTTGTGTAAGCTTAAGTGGAGTTTGGGTTTCTACCATGCAAAAGCTGCATAGGCACAGCAGTCCATCTGTGATCCCAACACTTAAAGGGCAGCTACAGGATCCCTGGCTAGCTAGACTCACTGAATGGGTGAGCTCCAGATACAGCAAGAGACCCAGCCTCAGTAAATATGGTGGAGGGTGATGGAGGGTGTGTGTGTGTGTGTGTGTGTGTGTGTGTGTGTGGGGAGAGAGAGAGAGAGAGAGAGAGAGAGAGCACATAGCAAACCTGTCCAGCTGTCCAATTTGACAAGGAAAGCCAAATGACTCCCCTATATAGAAGCAAGGAGACCATAGTGCTATCAGCATGAGCAGAGTCGTGTAGGGGGAGTAGACAGCTGTGCTCCCTCAGGTTCCACCCCCTCCTCCACCTAGTGGGAAGGCACTTTTTTGTTTGTTTTTTTTGCAGATGTTTTTAATTTGAATTACAAACAAGATTGTTTTACATGTCAATCCCAGTTCCCTCTCCCTCCCCTATACCCCCAAAAGTAAAACCCTACCTATCACATACCCTTTCTGCTCCCCCTGGAGGGTGAGGCTAGGAAGGCACTTTTCTAGGTGGACACTTACTCTGCGGTTGTTACACTTCAAAACTGTGTAGTGTTTTTCTGAAGACCCACTCTGATTTGGAAGTGCTATGACGATGGCGGGGACATAGAAGTCAAATCCTTTGCTTGTCCTGATTTTGGCAAATACATAATCCCCAACCTGTAGAAGAAATCACATTTCACAGCAAGTAATTCGTTTAATTAATTTACAAGTAATTAAATTACATACATAATTTAATACAAGCTTGTTTCACAGTAACCTTTGGTGACTGGCAGGTACTGGTGATAAAATTCTGATATAGAGTTTTAAAAAATCAGATTAAGAAAGGGTTCCAGAATTCTCTGAATTTAGTGGGCCACACCTGCATTTTATGAGCACATTGGAAAACCCAGTTTTGGTAGAAATTTGGCAACTGACAAGGGTCCTGGGACAGTCAGCAAGATGGTTAGGGTTCTGAAACTCACAGAGATCAGTAGAAACAAAGACTGGGCTGACGGAGTATCCAGGATGGAAACCATGTCCTCAGTGTTAGGAGGGCTGTCTCCCAACCCCAGACAAAGGAAAAGAGTGGGTTTGGTGAATGTCAGTTCCAGCAGATATGGAAACCATGGTGAAGATTACACAGAGGAATAGATAATTTTGCAAAAGGGCACAGGTACTTGTCAGTCATCAGGAGAAAGGTGCAGGATGTGTGCTGCAGGTCTGGCCCAGGAAGTGGGATCAGATCAAAGCTAACCCATCTGATCCCTCCCTGGCTTAAACCATGTAAGAAACAGCAGCACTTAGGCTTTGAAAGGTTTTCCTTCTGTGCCTTGCCCCCCAGTCCCATCTTGGTGTCAAGACAGTGGCAGACAGATGAACCGGTCACAGTGTGGCACTTATTCATTTATAATTGGTTGAGAACATACTCGTTTGTCTCACTTGTGGAAGGCATGCTGGGGGTAACTGCATTATGACTTCACAGGTTGGCAGTGGCTGACTACAAGGTCACAGAAATTACTAGTTCTACCCTTAGTACACACAATGCAGTCTTCTGCAGTGAAAGCTTCAGGAACACTGGGAGCCACACAATTTTCTCTCCCCCCTGTGACAAGTGTCACAAGAGATTATAGAAGCCACTATACACAGTGGCCAGCTACATTAAGAGGGAGTTGGCACATTGGTCCCAAGCAGAGAAATTGTCAAGTGATAGGGACAAGAAATTGGCTGCTGCTCTTCCTACCCAAACACAAGCTCCCTACAGGAGCCCAATAGGGCCACATAGGGACCTTTGCCATCCTCTGTAATCCAAAACCCTGTGGACAGTATAAAACATTGATTCTCAACCTTCCTAATGCTATGACCCTTTAATACAGTTCCTCATGTTGTGGTGACCCCCAACCATAAAATTATTGTCATTGCTATTTCATAACTGTAATTTTGCTACTGTTATGAATCATAAATATCTGTTTTCCGATGATCTTAAGGCAATCTCTGCGAAAGGGTGGTTCGTCCCCAAAGGTGTTGTGACCCACAGGTTGAGTACCACTTGTATAAAGGGTCCCAGAAGGGATCAGAGAGTAGGTACCTGAAGTTGTGGGCAGGGCATTGCGCCCCCAATAGGTGTGATGAAGGAGATGGGTACAGCCTTGGTTTCTCCATACCTGAATTCTACTAGTGCATGAGTGGGGCTCACAGATTTCTTCACAACTCCTGGAGGGATCAAAAGAGACAAAACACAATGACAGCAGCAGGTTTTCTCCACCCTGTGGTCTGTGTGGAGTCATAGTACATGCCTGTTTAAGTCAGTGTACCCCATGATCTCTGCAGGGATGGGGTAATAGTCAGATACAGTCTGATGCCTTTGGGGATGAACACAAAGTCGAGGAATAGAATACTCTGACTTCAGAGGTGAAGGAGAGCTCACTCATTGAGCACCAGCAGTATCCATCCTGCTGACTGCTCCAGGAACAGTTCCCTACTGAGCACCTCCGACAACCAAATCTCCTTATCTACTTATTCTAGTCCTGCGTCGTCCTTTGGAGACTGAACACAGGCACTGTTAAATTGTGAGGGTAGATATAAATGCCCCCACCTAAATCAGCTTTTCATTTCATTTGATATCAGATAAACAAAAAAGTCGCCAGGCTGAACACACCCCATGGCTTTCCTAAAAAAGCCATGGAAAAAAAATGGAAAAAAATTAAAACAAAAACCCAGTCGCAAGTAGTTTGTCCTTTCATTATACTCAAAGAGAATATTACATATATTTTTCAATTTTAAATTTTTATCTATTTAGAAACAGGATCTCTTTTTGTAGCTCTGGCTGGTATATAACCAGGCTAGCCTTGAACTTACAGAGATCTGTCTGCCTCTGCCTCTGCCTCTCAAGCAATGGAATTAAAGGCCACTGTGTCTGGCCAATCTTAAAATATTTTTCATGTGTGCATATTGTTATGCTGATGACTAAACAGGGACCTGTACATTTAAGGTAAGCACATGTAATTAGCAAAGTGTAGTATGCGGTCCCATGCCATTTCAAATCCTGTTTGGAAAGACAGGGCCTCTGAAGTGCAGGCAAGCTGGGTGACCACAGTCAAGCAGCTAATACAGCAAAGAGGGTATTCAGGTAAATGAAAGCTTGAGGTTAGCTGGCCAGAAACATTTTAAAGGTGTATCCTGCAACCCCTGATTATTTTTTTCCCATTGTAACTTGTGCCTATCAGCAGGGCAGAAATCACTATGAATTCCCTGATGTAAAATGCTTCTTGTCATTGATCAACAGGAAGAATGATCCAGTTTCCACCAGTAATGATCTCATAATGTTTGAGATGGGTCTTCTTCCTTGACCGTCAACATCTGGACAGGACAGGCTACCCTTCAGCTGGCCACTTCCACCCTGTAGGAGACTGTCATTTCCCTCCTAGACTCCTGAGAAAGATGTGGCTACATGGGAGTCCCTGATATGGTCCTGAGGCTATGGTAACAGTCAGCCAGGCTGAGTTGCACCAGTGTAGACCTGTCTTCAGGCAACGGGCACACAGTTCATTACTGCAATGCTGCCTTCTGTTGATGAAATACTAAATCAGACATTTTCAGAGGAAGGACTAGGGGGTTTTGAACAGTTGCCAGAAAAGAGCTACCAATAAGTTGTCTATTAAAAGATATTTGGCTTTTTTTTCAAAGAGGAGACATTACAGACTCATACCAACCATATGGTCCAAGTTACTATCACTAAAGAGGACAGATGGATACCATGTACCTCTGGACAGAATGGTACCTGAGTGACATCATCCAGGTTGTCTTCTGGGCAAGAATGTATATATTTACTCTAAGCTAAACCATCCTGTAATTGCCCTTCCTTTTAATGTTAACATCATGAATGTTTACAGGAAAGGCTAAATAAAAACTCTAGATTAAGGAGCTCTGTGTGGTGGCTCACACCTTTAATCTCAGCACTTGGGAGGCACAGGCAAGTGGATCTTTGTGAGTTTGAGGCCAGTTTGGTCTACATAGCAAGTTCTAAGCCAGCCAGAACTACATAGTGAGACCCTATTTAAAAAAAAAAAAAAGCCCTAAGGGTACATGTTAACCAAATGTAACATGTGACCCTGGATTTGGGTCTGCACAAGAGAAAGCACAAAGCATTGGCAGGCAAGTAACAAAGCAGAATCCACACGAGGGTGTACAGTGATGTCAGCTTCCTTCCGGAAGGTCATTTTTATCATGGTTCTATTAAGAGAGGCTTGCGTTTTTTGAGAAATAGAGTTGTAATGTGTGATGAGCTCTACCTAACTTCTAATAGTTCAGAAAAGTGTGTGTGTGTGTGTGTGTATGTATGTGTGTGTGTGTGTGTGTGTGTGTGTGTGTGTGTGTGTGTGTGTGTCTGTGTGTGTGTGTGTCTGTCTGTAGGAAGGGAAAGTGAAAATATGAAAAACTAGAAGACTCACAGATAATAAAATGTGACAAAATGCTAAATATTAGTAAATCTGGGTAAAGGAAATTTAAGAATTGTCTATCTTTCTTGTAACTTTTCTACAAGTTTGATTTTTTTTTTCTTAAGAAAACCTGACTCTGCAGGGGGAGTTAAAAAAGATTTTAAAAAGATCCCTTGACTCTGAAGGGTGGGAAAAGGCAAAGGATCTATGGATATCCAGCTCTCCCGTGGGCTGTGTTTGTTTGTATGTGTAAGTGCTGGTGTGAACACACCTGGATAAACATGTAAAGGTCAGAGGACAACCTCACGTGCTGGCCTTCTCCTTATGTCTCACTTGAGAACCTCTTGTTTACCACTGTGAATGCCAGGGTAGCTGCCCCATGGGCTTCTGGGAGGAGTGCTGGGCCCTCAGGGCAGGTCCTCACACTTGTACAGCCAGCGCTTTACCCACTGGCCAACTCCACAGACTGCCATTTAATCCGGTGGTGTTAATGTTTACTGACTAGCCGGAGATCCAGATGACTGGTTCTGTAACTAAATTCAAATGTTTACTTCCTCCACATTGACTTATTTGAACTCAACCACAGCTGCAAATTTAAATGTTTTGATTTGGCCGCTCACATGCAGTTATGAGGTTGCTCACTGGCTCCTGTTTACACACTTAGGTACAAATTGCCATACAGACTCAGGCACGTTAGGTGGCTGTGGCGTTAGCCCTGCCTCTCTGTCCCCCAGCCTGGGCATATACAGCAGTGATGCTGGGAAAGCCCGAGTCAGTCTTTATTTCCCTGGAGTCCTGGCCAGCCATCAGACCCTAGTCCATAAGCCACCCATCCAGCTGGAATGCAGTCCTTTGTACATTCCACTTGAGTGGCAGATTCGTTTAGGATCCTCTCCATGGCTTAAATTAAGATGTCTCGCCAGAAGGGGCCTCCTGTGATCCCCACTCAGCACCAAGCAAAGAAAGCACCCCACTCCTACCCCCCCCATCGCCTCAGCACAGCACTTTCATGCTTTGGCCCGTGAGCTGTTTCAAATGCCTGGCTCTATTTCCTTTCATCCGATCAACTCCAAGTTCATTTTCCAGATGTCAGAGAAGACATCTTAGTCAATAGTTCTATTCGCATGCTGACTGGAAGCTAAATGTTTTTGCTGAGAAGTTCCTTCCACCCACAGAGATTACCTAATTAAATTTGATGAATGGCTAGGCTTCTGCACTTTAATTTTTTGTTTCTTACAGGCTTCTCTAGGTTTTCTCCAGGGTCATCTTTTGCCTGCTGACCCTTCCCATGATGTTTCCAGAATCTCTGTCCCTTTCCAGACTCCAATGGAGTCTCTAACATTTTCTCTTGGGCATTTCACAGGCACCTGCAGTTCATATCCCAAGCACACATCCGTGTCTTTCCATCCATGCCACTGAGTTATCTCTCCAAGACCTCTCCCAGCTTTTAATGTGACTTTCCAATGCCCTGGGAGCAAAGTGCAAACTCCTAAGTACCACATGCTTCGAGTGACCCCATGCTTACCTCCTAGCTAGTTTTTACAACAACCTGACACAAGCTAGAGTTGTCTGAGAGGAGGGAACCTCAATCGAGAAAATGCCTCCTGTAGGCAAGCTTGTAGGGCATTTTCTTAATTAGTGATTGATGTGGGAGGGCCCAGCCCATTATGGTGGGGCCACCTCTGGGTTGGTAGTCCTGAGTCCTATATGAAAGCAGGGTGAGCAAGCCAGGAAGAACAAGCCAGTAAGCAGCACTCCTCTTTGACCTCTGCATCAGCTCCTACCTCTGGGTTCCTGCCCTGTTTGAGTTTCGGTCCCGACTTCCTCCAATCATGAACAGTGGTATATAAGCGTGAGCCAAATAAACCCTTTCCTTCCCGAGTTGCTTTGGTCATCATGTTTCCTCACAGCAATAGTCATCCTAACTAGTACAGCTTTATTGTTCCTCATTGTTCTCTTGTGTTCCTGGTTCTAGCCACAGTTGCTTTTCCATCTCCAGACACAGTATCTTTGTTCACCTGTCTCTTGCCAGGTAAGATTTTCACTGTCCACAAAGCCCCTTCCACACCTCCATTCCCTGCTGAATGGATCTGGCTGGTTCCTTCGGGAAGCACATCTCCTGGGATGTCTTGGGAACATCTCTGCAGTCAACTGTGCTAGTCTGTCTGCTTTTCCTGAAACGTGTCCCTTGCATTCTAGCCTCCAGCCTTTCTTCCTGATAATCTAATGGTAGCACATACTTCTTTATGTCCTTATCATGCCATGTTCTCCAGGAGCCTTTCCTTAAGCACTCCATTTAGAACTGCAGCCTTCTCTGTGACACACTCATTGCTCTTTGTGGCTTGGTTTTCCCCTCACAGTACTGTATCTAACATGTTATGTATGTTTACTGTTTATTTGGTGGCTTTCCTGTGTCTCTTAGTAAGAAACAACTTCCCTGAAGACAAGAATATTCATGGATTTGTTTACTGTGTTACATGGGTACTTCCAGGGCTGGCGAGAGAGCTCGGGTGGTTAAGGTGGTTGTGGCTAAGCCAGATAGCCTGAGTTTAATCCCCAGAATCCACATGGTAGAAGCAGAAAACTGATTCTTGCAAGTTGTCCTCTGACTCCGCCACCACACACACACACACACACACACACACACACACACACACACAAACCATGCCTCATGTGCCCCCAACAAATAAAATAAATAAATGTAGATTGGCATGTTCAGAATATTATACACACATGCAAAATAGTAGGTTGTAATAGAAATTTGTTCTCTATACAAATGATTAAGAGAAATATTTTTTTCTACTACTCTTTTGCCTCACCTATGAGAAAGAGAACTATTTTTTATTTGAGAAGCAGAATATCTTTAGTCAAGCTCATGAAATGTCAGTGTTCTAGGGAAAGCTTGGGGGTTAACTCTACTCCCCAGTGTCCGGTTGCTTAGCAAATGAGTCTGAAAATGTACCTGGAAAATAGAAGCCATTCTCCTCACATCTGGCAATAACCTTCTGGCCTTTGAGGGAATCTATTTTTCTTGATTTGATTTTCTTTGCTGGACTCCCTGGTAATTTCTGCTGCTGAAAAAGACCAACAGTAAAAAGTGATGAGCAAAAGGTAATGCAGATAGTAAAATTATGAATGGAGGGAGCCTTATCATTACCTCTGTTCAAGTGTGTACCACATACTCATCTGAGACACTTCTGTCCTACATTAACTAAAGAGCACCCTCTCTTTCTGTCTCTCTGTCTCTGTCTTTGTCTCTGTCTCTCTCTCTCTATATATATATATCATTCCACTGTAAACTAAAATTATATGTTTATATATTATATATAACATGTGTATATTATATATAATTTGTATAATATCTAGTTTCCCTTTTATTCAATTAGTTATTCAATTCTTTCACTCAAACTAAATTATATTTTATTACATTTTATGTAATTATATATAATATAATGCTATGTATTATGTTATATATAATTATATATAAATATATGTTTTAGTTTAGAGTTGAAGAAAGGGAAACTTTTTAAAAACTATACACACAACTAGAATTCCTAAGATTCTAGATGGCTTCACAGCTGGACACAGACTACTTGAGAACCATGGCCCAAGCTGCTTCCTTCCTAGAACTGTGAGGAGACTATGCTTTCAACAGAAAAGTCAACCACAGTTAGCATCTCTGAGAGACAAGTGTAAAAACTTAATTACAGAAACACAGTGGCCCACCCCACCCCTCCATGAAAATGACAAACCCTTAGACACTCTACCTCACAGAACAGAATTTCATGGACCATGGACTAGATTCTCCTAGTCCTCACTTTTCCTGGTTATCAACTGGATTATCCTAGTCCTTACTCTTGGTTATCGGCTAGATTATCCTAGTCCTCACTTATCCATGCCCTTACTTCAGGAAAAGCATCCTAGTAGAAGGCAATGGACCACACTATCAAAGTTCTGGAAGAAAATTCCAACCTAGAATTCTAAATCCCAGCAAACCATTGATTAAATCAAAGAGGGGGTTAACCATAAAATCATCACTCTAAGTGGAAGCATTTCCCTACATCATCCTCTTATAGGAAGCTACTTGGAAGTGTACTCTAGCAAAATGAAGGAGTGAAACAAGAAAGAGCAACACAGAAACTCTAGGATGCAGAATCCACTCCAAGAGAGCAGGAAGAGAAATCTCCAGGGGACAGCTGTGTGCAGTCCAACCAGCAGGAAGTCTTGGGGGTGGAAGTTAAGGACATAGGAATCCTGGAAATATATATATATACATATACATATATATGTATATGTATATGTATATATATTACATATATATATTACATATATATATTACATATATATTATATATATGCATACACATATATGTAAAATCATGCACACAAATCTAAAGCATACATAATAATGATTTAAATACAGACAAATTTGGAGCACAACCTTACCAAGGGACAGGAGTTGAAGAAATGGTTTTCTCATGATACTATTAGCAATCTTTAGTTGTCTAAGTATAAGACCTTCAAGGAGGCCATGTGCTCCTAACCTGTGGCTTATCCTGATATTGGAAAATATAATTGGAACAATGCTGGGCTAGCACAATGGGTGCTACGTTGAGGGTTTTTAAATTTTTCACAATGAATCTTTGGAAGCACACCCTACCAACACAATGTTCTAAAGACTGCTTTTGGAAGGTGGAGTTGAAAGCAGAGAGGCCCACCATGTGGAGTCAGGAACTAAGGAAATCTGACACATCCAGAAATATAGGCTTCAGCACATTAAATAAAACATCACAAAATGCAAGTAGGAGAAGGGAATGACAAGAGAAGCATCATCTTAGAGAGGAATGAAACCTATTGTTTAAACTATGAAGAGTAATGACTCAGAGGAACAACAAAGTTCGAACCAAAGGCCTAAAATCCAGCCCTTCATGGATGCTGCTTCTGAGGAGCAAGAATGGTACCATTACCACCAGCATCATCTCTACACTACATCAGTTGTTGCCATAAGAAATATTGTGCTAAGATTAAAAATTAGGCAGTCAGTTTCAGAGAGGAATTTGGGCTCACCCATGCAGTGCACATGTGAAAACGCAGAAAATGCTTTAAGAATTAAACTAAAATGACACCATTGCCCAGGACCCAGACCACCAGACTAAGTGAGCCTCAAGTGATGTGAGTGAGGGCAACTCAGAGCGGACAGCAGCCTGTTAAACTGAACTGATGTGAGTTTTATTTCAAAACTGCTAAAGGTTCTGAGGAGAAGAAGGAAGTGCCTACAGAGGTAAAAGTGTAACCAGGTTTTATTAAAAAACGTTCAGCCTTCATCAAAGAATTTAAACACAAAACCGTGAAGCCCAATATTCAAAATGTTCATTATACAATGAAAACATAACAAGCAAGCAATAAACTATGAGCAATTCTTCAGCTAAAAGGCAACTAATAGGTTCTGATACTGAGACGACCTAGGTGTTAAAATAATTGATAAAGACTTAAAACCAGCAATTGCAACCATGTAAATACTATAAAATTATAACATTTTTAGAAACAAATATAAACTATTATTCTATATGATATATGTGGAAATCCTAGGGATAAAATAGAATATGCAGATAAACATTATATCTACTTGATAATAGCTATCTCCCCAGCCCCAATCCAAAACAATTTTGAAAAGCAATAATTTGGATGTTTTCTATACTTTTTTATTTCAAAACTGACTAAAACCTACAGTAATGAAGACAGTGTGGCATTATATCTACTTGATTACCAGAGGAAAGACCAGTATACTTGAAGACAAACTAACAAAGGACAGAGAAAAAATAATAGAGTTTTAAGAAGGAACAGTGTCCATCTTCTGAGCCAATAACTCCTTTCTGCCCCAATTCAGCAATAACTTTACTGAGGTCACATTCAAGGAATTTCAGAAAGAACACAGGAAGACAATTTTCTTATTTCAGATGGTGTCTTAAGAGTTAAAGTTGGAGTGAATGTCTTGGATATGTCTACTATATGAAGAAGCGAGTAACATTATCTTACAAATGTCACAAAGAAGCTTTTAATTTTAATTGTGGGCCTGTGGCGGGGGGAGTATGTGCATGTGGGTGTAGGTACCCACAGAGGCCAGAAGAGGGTGTCCTGTCCCCTGGTGAAGTTATAGGCAGTTGTGAGTCATCTGCTGTGGGTGCTAGGATCCAAATTCAGGTCCTCAGGTCCTCAGGTACATGCTCTTAACCACTGAGCTATCTCCCCAGCCCCAATCCAAAACAATTTTGAAAAGCAATAATTTGGATGTTTTCTATACTTTTTTATTTCAAAACTGACTAAAACCTACAGTAATGAAGACAGTGTGGCATTAACATATGGAGAGTCATATTGATCAATGGAACAGTCTTGAAAGTCCATTAGTTAAAGTTAATAATTGTTGTCAATTTTTTATTTGGAGGGGAAATTTGATACTTTTGTTTTTTGAGACAAGGTTTCTTTCTCTCTCTCTCTCTCTCTCTCTCTCTCTCTGTTTGTTTTTGGTTTTTTGAGACAGGGTTTCTTTGTAGCTTTGGCGCCTGTCCTGGAACTCACACTGTAGACCAGGGCTGGTCTTGAACTCACAGAGATCTGCCTGTCTCTGCCTCCTGAGTGCTGGGGTTAAAGGTGTGCATCACCACCTCCTGGCAAAATCAATACTTTCTTAACCAGTAAACTTACCATATGGCTGATAAATATGCATCTCTCTAACATAAATGGAATCTTATAACTATGCAAGGACTTACAGGCAAGTATTGATTTCAGCATTATTCATGATGATAAAAAGGTATTCAAGTTTCTATTAACTGGGAAGGGGATAAACATGATGTGGTATACAGTAAGATTTTATACAGCCACTTACATATGAAATACACAGAGAAAGCTAATTTATAGAGCTAGAAATTGATTGGTGGTCACCTGGAGCTGAAGGTGTGACCAGGTTTTTTGTTGTTGTTGTTGTTGCTCACTCTAAAACTCACAATTATAAAAGTAACCCTTGGCATGAGGAGCCCATTTCTAAAGAACACAATGAATGGGAATTACAACAAGAAGTGACACCTGTATTAATGGTCCTGGTGGTGGTTTCAAGAGCTACGCTGCCACATCTGACCAGTCATTCTAGGCCATTGCTCTCAAAGTTCCAGTCACAGTCCAACAGTTCATTAAAGATGAGGAGTGACTAAGTCCCAATCCATATGATGTCATACATTTATATTCTTTGCCATTTTTGGGCAGGGATTACAAAGAAGTTCATTCCCTCAACTAAAATCCTGTCACAACACTTCCGGGCTTCAGCTTAGCTTTATATTGCAGAAATTAACCACAGTGTCATCACTGCATTGAAGGTGTGACCAGATTTTATGTTGATAGCTGGCAACTCTGATGGCTGGCTTTGTCCACTTGAAACAACCTGGAATCTGGGAAGAGACTCTCAATGGGGGAGACCCTCTACATTGGGTTGGCACATTGTGTGTGTGTGTGTGGGGGGGATGGATTGTCATGGTTGATTGAGTTAGTTGATTTTGGAAGACCCAGCCCACTGTGGGCAGCACCATTTCCTAGGCATTGGTCCCTGAGCTGTGTAAGAGTCGGAGAATGGAACTGAAGCAACAGGCAAACAAACAAGTGAGCATGAATTCATTTGTTTCTTTTTGCTCTTGACTGTGGATGTGATATAAGTCTAGCTGTTTTGAGTTTCTGCCACTGTGACTTCCTTGCAATAATGGGCTGTAAACTGGGACTATGGCCTGAAATAAAGCATGTCTCCCTGAAATTGCTTTTTGTTGGGGCATTTTATCACAGCAACAGAAATGTAACTAGAGAAACACTGTGTCAGTTCTGTTAAAAATCACTGAAATGAAACAAATGACATGTAAATTATACTCCCACAAATCTGCTTTTTTTTTTTTTTTCATTTGTTTCTGGCTTGCTCTATATAACTCTGGTCACAGTGTTTTGCATATAGTGGGCGGAGTGAGTGAGTGTGCACAGAAGTTTCTGGGTCTATACTGAGCCTCATCCTCAACCCTGAATCTACTTTTAAACCAAAACAT